CATTCAAACATACTTTGAATCCACCTGCTTCTAGTCTAGTCTAAGTCATCATCATCTCTTGCCTGGGCAACTGCAACCACCTCCTATACGGCCTCCTTACTTCTAATCTTAAACCTTTATGTTCAATTCTCCACATAGTGGCCAAAATGATCTTTTGAAACCATAAGCCAGATAATGCTATTCCTTGACTTGAAACCTTCCAGTGGTTTCCACCGGGCTTAGAATAAAGTCCAAATTCCTTACCAAAACTTACACAGCCCTCTGTGAGCCTGACCTCACCCACCTATGTTTTCTTACTGGGTACCACTCAGCATCAAGCTCAGTACATCCCAGGAGTAGGTTCTGCAAACATCCTAAATTCATTCCAGGTGCAGAATCTTTGCACTTGCTACTTTTTCTGCCAGAAGCATCACTCCCTTGGCCCCTATCCCCTGATCTTTGCTTGCTGGCTCTTTAAAGTGCAGGGTTCAGTTCAAATGTCATCTCTTCACAGAGGCCTTCTCTGACCATCTAGCTAAAGAACGTGCCACTGTCCAAAATGGTTTTCCTTCTTTATTGCCTTGCTTATTGTTTGTTTCCTCACTAGAATATCAGCTCTATGAACGCAAGGACCTCGTCTGTCTTGTTCACTGATGTATCCCCGGCACTTAGAATAGTGCCCAGCACATAGAAGGTGTTTAAAAAATATTTGCTTAGTGAATGAGTGAAAGAAGGTGGAACCATGTCAGAGAAAGAGGTGGTTAATTGCTTTAGGCAGAATCTTCCAAAGTCCTGTGTTTGTGTCTTCATCACAGCCCCTAGTACACCTACCTTCTGCTTTCCCTTATCTGTTGCACCAGAGAAACATATACTTCATCTGCCCCATATCAGGGTCTACGGGTCTGTTACTCTGGCTGAGAAATGCTTAGACCATGTTTTATGTTCCCCTCTCTATCCTTCTGCTCTCAGCCCAGAGCCTGGCACTGAGCAGTCCCTCGACAAATGTCTGTCGACTTGAATGGACTTTCAGTTCCCTCTTGGATTCTGAGAGCATGGCTGGACTTCATATTTGGGTAAAATTGTCCCCCTGTGCCTCACAGCCAAAACGAAATCAAACCCCAGCATGAAGGAGCTCCCAATGGCCAAAACTGAAATAATTTGAGCAACAAAATACATCATGATATCATTGGATTGTAACCCATAGAAAAAAAAGTAAATACCCATGAATCCATACTAACATAAATAATTGAATGAGTAAATAAATGGGGGAGAAAGGATGCCCCTTTCTTTGAGTAGGGTTCTATTAATGAATGTAGAAGTATCTCCCCAGCAGATACTTATTGCTTACAAAGAGTTAAACAGTGAACTACAGTGGAAAAGCCTGGCAGATACCGCCTTTACCAAGCGATCAAGGTTAACATCATCGGTCATAAAAGATATACCACTAAGAGGAGCCCTGGTGGCGCAGTGGTTAAGAGCTCAGCCTCTAACCAAAAGGGTCAACAGTTTGAATCCACCAGCCACTCCTTGGAAACCCTATGGGTCAGTTCTATTCTGTCCTATAGGGTCGCTATGAGTCAGAATTGACTCGACGGCAACCAGTATGGTTTTGGTATCATTAAAAACAGCACAACATCACTTCTGTGGTATTCTTGCGAAAAATACACAAGGCTGAGGCCATCATGAGAACACGTCAGCTAAATCCAAACTGAAGGAGCATTCTCCACAATAACTGACTAGTGCCTCAGGGTTTTAAAAGGCAAAACAAAAAAGATGGAGAAATTGTCGCAGATTAGAGATCAAAGAGGCATCGCAACCAAACAAAAACTGGGATCCTGGGCCAGAGAAAGGACATTACTGAGAAAACTGGCAAAATTTGACTAAGGTTTATAGATAAGTGTTATTAGTAATGTTAATTTCCGAAATTGGCAATTGTGCTAAGATTATAAACCAACAAAACTGAACCTATTGCCATCGAGTTGATTCCGACTCACAGTGACCCAACAAGACAAAGTACAACTACCCCATAGGGTTTCCAAGGAGCGGCCTGTGGATTCAAGCTGCTGACCTTTTGGTTAGCAGCCAAGCTCTTAACTAGTCCGCCACTGGGGCCCCACTAAGATGTTAACAGGAGAAACTGAGTGGAAGGTATATGTGAACTCTTTCCTATATTTTTGCAACATTTTTGTTAATATACAGTTAGTAAAGTATTATAATGACACATGCAAAGAGCTGGAGATAGAAAACCAAAAGGGAAGAGCACGCGCGGCATTTCTCAAGCTGAAAAAACTGAAGGAAAAATTCAAGCCTCGAGTTGCAATAGCGAAGGATTCTATGGGGAAAATACTAAACGACACAGGAAGCATCCAAAGAAGACGGAAGGAATACACAGAGTCATTATACCAAAAAGAACTGGTAGGCGTTCAACCATTTCAGGAGATAGCATATGATCAGGAACCAATGGTACTGAAGGATGAGGTCCAAGCTGCACTGAAGGCACAAGGCTCCAGGAATTGACGGAATATCAACTGAAATGTTTCAACAAACGGATGCAGCACTGGAAGTGCTCACTCGTCTATGCCAAGAAATTTAAAAGACAGCTACCTGGTCAACTGACTGGAAGATATCCACATTTATGCCTATTCCCAGGAAAGGTGATCCAAATGAATGTGGAAATTATTGAACAGTATCATTAATATCACATGCAAGTAAAATTTTGCTGAAGATCATTCAAAAGCGGCTGCAGCAGTATCAACAGGGAACTGCCGGAAATGCAAGCCAGATTCAGAAGAGGACGTGGAACCAGGGATATCATTGCTGATGTCAGACGGATTCTGGCTGAAAGCAGAGAATAGCAGAAAGATGTTCACCTGTGTTTTATTGACTATGCAAAGGCATTCAACTGTGTGGATCATAACAAATTATGGATGACATTGCGAAGAATGGGAATTCCGGAACACTTAATTGTGCTCATGAGGAACATGTACATAGATCAAGAGGCAGTCATTTGAACAGAACAAGGGGATACTTCGTGGTTTAAAGTCAGGAAAGGTGTGTTTCAGGGTTGTATCCTTTCACCATACCTATTCAATCTGTATGCTGAACAAATAATCTGAGAAGCTGGACTATGTGAAGAAGAATGGGGCATCAAGATTGGAGGAAGACTCATTAACAACCTGCGATATGCAGATGACACAACCTTGCTTGCTGAAAGTGAAGAGGACTTCAAGCACTTACTGATGAAGATCAAAGGCCATAGCCCTCAGTATGGATTACACCTCAACATAAAGAAAACAAAAATCCTCACAACTGGACCAATAAGCAACATCATGATAAATGGAGAAAAGATGAAAACTGTCAAGGATTTCATTTTGTTTGGCTCAACAGTCAACACCCATAGAAGCAGCTAATCAAAAGATGCATTGCACTGGGCAAATCTGCTGTGAAAGACCTCTTTAAAGTGTTCAAAAGCAAAGACGTCACCTTGAAGACTAAGGTGCGTTTGACCCAAGCCATGGTGTTTTCAGTCGCCTCGCATGCAAAAGCTGGGCAATGAATAAGGAAGACTGAAGAATTGACAACTTTGAATTGTGTTGGTGAAGAATATTGAATATACCATGGACCACTAAAAGAACGAACAAATCTGTCTTGGAAGAAATACAACCAGAATGCACCTTAGAAGCGAGGATGGTGAGATTACTGCTCACATAGTTTGGACATATTATCAGGAGGGATCAGTCCCCGGAGAAGGACATCATGTTTGGTAAAGTAGACAGTCAGTAAAAAAGAGCAAGACCCTCAATGAGATGGATTGACAGTGGCTGTAAAAATGCTCAAGCATAACAACAATGGTGAGGATGGCACAAGACTGGGCAGTGTTTTGTTCTGTTGTACATGGGGTCGCTATGAGTTGGAACTGACTTGATGGCACCTAACAACAACAACACAATTAGAATCAAAAGTTAAAAAAATTTTAAATATAAGCTCCATAGACACATCCAAACTCCCTGAGGGACCAAATTACTGGGCGGAGGGCTGTGGGGACCATGGTCTCGGGGAACATCTAGCTCAATTGGCATAACACAGTTTATAAAGAAAATCTTCCACATTCTACATTGGTGAGTAGCGTCTGGGGTCTTAAAAGCTTGTGAGTGGCCATCTAAGATACTCCACTGGTCTCACTCCTTCAGGAGCAAGGGAGAAAGAAGAAAACAAGACACAAGGGAAAGATTAGTCCACAGGACTACAGGACGGCAACTACCACAGCCTCCACCAAACCGAGTCCAACACAACCAGATGGTGCCTGGCCACCACCTCTGACTCCTCTGACAAGGATCACAACAGAGGGTCCCAGACACAGCTGGAGAAAAATGTGGAATGAAATTCTAACTCATAAAAAAAGACCAGACTTACTGGCCTGAGGGAGACTGGAGAAACCCCGAGAGTATGGCTCCCGGACACCCTTTTAGCTCAGTAATGAAGTCACTCCAGAGGTTCACCCTTCAGCCAAAGATTAGACAGGCCCATTAAAACAAAATGAGACTAAAGGGTCACACCAGCCCAGGGGCAAGGAGGAGAAGGCAGGAGGGGACAGGAAAGCTAGCAAGGGGGAACCAAAGGTCAAGAAGGGGAGAGTGTCGACATGTTGTTGTTGGCAACCAGTGTCACAAAACAATATGTGTATTAACTGTTTAATGAGAAGCTAGTTTGCTCTGTAAACCTTCATCTAAAGTACAACAAAAAATTAAAAAAAAAAAATTAAGTATGTACAATTTAAACGCGATAGGCATTCCAAACACAACAGATAGGTCGTTCTGTGTGTAGGTGAGGCTCACAGAAAAGTGCAGAAGGCCCGGAGAGGCAAAGGTCAGAGGTCGCTTTAATGCGCTTCTTTTCGCATATTTACGATACGCAAACTTCATCCGCAGCCCCACAGGAGGCAGCGCGAAGCGGCGGTGTTTGAGCCAGGGGGCGGGCCGTAGCGCGGAGCCGGAAGCGCTGCGCACCGGAAGCGGTGCGGGAGTGTGGTGGCGGCGAGTAGGTTGCGCCGAGCAGTGGGTTCGGCTCGCTCCGACGGCCCCGTGTGCGGCTAGCTGTCACCATGTCGTCGGTGAACCCCATCCAGATCCCCAGCCGCCTCCCGCTGCTGCTCACCCACGAGGGCGTGCTGCTGCCCGGCTCCACCATGCGCACCAGCGTGGACTCGGCCCGCAACCTGCAGCTGGTGCGGAGCCGCCTGCTCAAGGGCACGTCGCTGCAGAGCACCATCCTGGGCGTCATCCCCAACACGCCCGACCCGCCCAGCGACGCGCAGGACCTGCCGCCGCTGCACAGGTAGACCCGGCCGGCCTCTCCGGGACACGGGCGGCCTCTCCCGGGACACGGGCCGGCCTCTCCCGGGACACGGGCGGCCTCTCCCGGGACACGGGCCGGCCTCTCCCGGGACACGGGCGGCCTCTCCCGGGACACGGGCGGCCTCTCCCGGGACACGGGCCGGCCTCTCCCGGGACACGGGCGGCCTGTCCCGGGACACGGGGCGGCCTCTCCCGGGACCCCGGGCGGCCTCTCCCGGGACCCCGGGCGGCCTCTCCCGGGACACCGGGCCGGCACCGGCCTGGGAGCGCGGAGCCTCGGGAGCGGCCTCGGAGGCTTGCTTCTACGTCCCCCTCGTCTCTTCGCATATCAGATGGGAATGACAGATGTCTCAAGTAGCTGTCGCGTGTAAGGATTCGTCTTGGATTCCCCGCCCACTCCCGCGTCTTCAGACTCCTGGTCTCTTGCTGCTAGGTCTCCCGGCCGCCCCTTTCCCCCAGCTGATCTCCCTTCTCTTTCCTTTCCGTGTCTGTCTCTCCTCTTCTTGTTTTTTTAATTAAAAAATTTTATTCTCTTCATTGAGGCACTCTCTACTGCACGCATTTGCTTTTGCCAGTCCTATTCTGAACTGCACCCGCTTCCATTAACTTTTTTTTAGTTGTGGTAAAATGTACACAACATAAAATTTGCCGTTTTAGCCGTTGTCAAGTGCACAATCCAGTGGCGTCAATCACACTCACAATATTTTGCAACCGTCGCCACAGTTTGTTTCCAGAACGTTTTCATCACCGCAAACTCTGTACCCATTGCGTAATACCTCTCCGTTCTCCCCGCCCCCAGCCCATGATAACCACTGGTTTGCTTTCTGACGCTATGCATTTGTTTGTTCTAGATATTTCATATAAATGGGATCATGCAACGTTCTTTTGCGTCTGTATTATTTCACTTAGCATGCTGTTCTCCAGGTCCTCCCCTGTCGTACTATGAAGTTCATTCCTTTTTGTGGTGGAGTATATTTCACTATACATATATACACTGAGCTCTGGTGGCGCAGTGATTAAGAGTTCAGCCACTAGCCAGAAAGGTCGGCAGTTTGAATCCATCAGCCACTCCTTGGAAACCAACCCTATGGGGCAGTTCTGCTCTGCCTTATAGGGTCACTATGAGTTGGGACTGACTCAATGGTAATGGGTATACATATATACAAGGAGCCCTGGTGGTACAGTGGTTAAAGTGCTCGGGCGCTAACCAAAAGTTCTGGGAGTTCGAACCCACCAGCCACACCGTGGGAGAAAGATGTGACAGTCTGCTCCTGTAAAGATTACAGCCTTTGAAACTATGGGGCAGTTCTGCTCTGTTCTGTAGGGTTGCTATTAGTCGGAATCAGCTCAGCGGCAGTGAGTTTGGTATACGTGTATACAGTAAGATCTGCAAAAGCTGGAAACTTTAAGGTGGAAACCTGTCAGAAAAGGAAAATGCAAATACAGTGAAACCTGTGAGAAGTGGAACTTGAAGGGACTGCCTTGTTTTGCAAGTTTTCTGCCTTTGACAGGGTGCAGTCTTCCCACTTTTCTATCCCTCATTTTAGTGGAAAATGTTGGACTGTTCCTTCTCTGACAGGTTGCTGCCTTACACAGGTTCTGGCTTTCACAAGTTTTACTGTATTTTCCACTAAATCAGGAAAAAGTGGGAAGACTACACTCTGTCAAAGGTGGAAAACTGGCAAAACCTGGAAAAACTAGGCAGTCCCGTCGAGTTCCGGCTCTCACAGTTTTCACTGTGCTCCATTTTGTGTATCATCTGCTGATGGACAGTTGGAGTTTTTTCCACCTTTTGGCTATTGTGAATAAAGCTGCAGTGAGTATTGGTGTATATGTATCTGAGCCCCTGCTTTGAGCGGAGGTACTGGGTCATATGGTAATTCTACGTTTAACTTTTTGAGAAGCCGCCAGACTTTTCCACAGCAGGCTGCGCCATTTTACATTCTCAGTAGCAGTGGAGGAGGGTTCCAGTCTCTCTACATCCGGGAGCCGACACTGGTTCTTCACTGGGTTTTTGTCTGTTTGTGCTTTGGTTGTAGCCACCCTAGTGGGTGTGAAGTGGTGTCTGACTGTGGTTCTGCGTTGCGTGTCCCTAGACATGTTGAGCATCTTCCCGTCCACACACTTTTGGGTGCCTGTCTTGCACACTCCCTGCCTCTCCTTTCCTCCCCCAGTCCTTCTCTTTTCTTCTTAAAGGGCCTTTTCTGCTCCCATTTCCCTTTGGTTTCTCTTTCTGATCACTGGTTCTCATCACTGCTCCTTCTCTTGTATCTTAACATGTATTTTCTTAGGCCCTGTTTTAGTTATCTAGTATTGCTATAAAAGAAATACCACAAGTGGATGTCTAACAAACAGATTTATTCTCTAGGAGGCTAGAAGTCTGAATGCAGGGGTCAGCTCCAGGGAAAGGCTTTCTCTCTGGCAGCTCTGGGAGAAGATCCTTGTCATCAGTTTCCCCTGGTCTAGGAGTTTCTCAGCACAGGGACCCCGGGTCCAAAGGACATGCTCCATTCCCGGCTCTTCTTTGTTGGTGGTAGAAGGTTCCTCTTCTCTCTTTTATATCTCAAAAGAGATTGACTGTAGATTGTGTGCTGCCTCATTAACATAACTGCCTCTAATCCTGCCTCATTAACATCATAGAGGTTAGCATTTACAAACATAGGGCAAATACATCAGATCACAAAATGCAGGACAACCACGTGATACTGGGAATCATGGCCTAGCCAAGTTGACACATATTTTTTGGGGGATACAATTCAATCCATAACAGGCCCCAAGCTTACCACTAGATTGCACCAGGGGACAAGAGGCTCCCTACAGTGTGGTTCTGGTCGTGGCTTTGGGTGTTTCCTTGCACCATCCAGGTGACAATGGCCACGGTCTTCAGGGAGAGGCAGCAAGAATTTGCCCCCCGAGTTCCTTGCCATACAGAGTAGCAGAGCCAGACGTTGGCTTGCCTGAGCCACTTCCTTCACCTTGTGAACTGCTGAGCCCCTTTCTGCCTGTGTGTGTGCAGGCGTGGTGGCCGACACGGGAGCCTTTTCAGAAGAGCTTTGCATTGTCCCCGCACTGTGGGACTTGGCTGCCATCGCCTCGGGACAGCCTTCATCTCCCTACTTAACTGGACTGTAGTTTTAGGGGCTCCTGAACAACCCTTTGTTTTCTTCATGAAAACGGACAATTTAGCACTGCTTGTACAGTATCCTTTTATGCATTGCAAGATGGCCTTCCATCCTGTTCCAGCCCTACTTTCAGAGTCCCTGGCTTCCTTCCCTCACAGTGCTGGGTCCTCAGTCCGTCTTCACGTGTTGGTTTTCTTCTTCATCTCGGAGACCCCACGTGAGTCTCTTCGTCATTTGTTTAAGGAAAAATCAATGTTTCATCTGTAGTAGATGCAGTTTCATAATTTGGATCAATTCTTTCTCCATGTATTACTATTTATATATATTATTAGCATTCTCAGGCATTCAAGAAATAATCGGCTGATAATAGTAAATTTTTTTTTTTTTTTTTTTACATTTAAATTTAGTCCTGCGTATTAGCAGGTATGTAATGGGTAACTCAGATTTTCCTAAACTTGCAGTTGCTCTTTTTTAAGGAAGGTCTGTCTAGAAGTGGGAGCCCTGGTGGTGCAGTGGTTGACAGCTTGACTTAACCAAAAGGTCGGTATTTCGAATCTACCAGTGACTCCTTGGAAACCCTATGGGGCAGTTCTGCTCTGTCCCATAGGGTCACTATGAGTCAGAATCAACTTGATGGCAATGGGTTTGATTTTGTTTGGATCTAGAAGTGGCATTTCTTAAATTCAAAAATGAAGTTTGCTCTGTCCCATAGGGTCACTATGAGTCAGAATCAACTTGATGGCAATGGGTTTGATTTTGTTTGGATCTAGAAGTGGCATTTCTTAAATTCAAAAATGAAGTTTTAAGAAAGAGTTGAGGATAAAAAAACCCTGAGCAATAAACCCTCTTTGCCGTGTTGTAAGTTTGGGGCTGTTTTAATAGACTCTGGCCTTGTTTCTAAATCATTATTAATCTTGATGGATTTACTCAAAATCATCAGATATTCAAGAAGTTAATTAGGTGACACCAAGACAAAATTGAAAAGATGTTTTAGTGGTTCTTTCCCACAAATACGTAATTTTTCTTTTGCTTTCACAGCTTTGGAAGACGTGCTTCTCGTCAGAAGTTACCCATCATTGATACTTACACGTTGTTGTTGTAGCTGCCCTGGGGTCGTCCCGTGCATCGTGGAACAAAACGCTGCCTGGTCCTGGGCCTTCCCCCCACGATCAGTTGCCCATCAGACCGTCGTGATTCATAGGGTTTTCATTGGCTGATTTTCAGAAGTAGATTGCCAGGCTTTTCTTCCTAGTCCATCTTAGTCTGAAAACTCCGCTGTAACCTGTTCACTGTCATTTTTGTTGTGTGCCAGCCATTCCAACTCGTAGCAACTCCACGTGACAGCGTAGAACTGTCCCATACGGTTTTCTTGGCTGTAATCTTTACAGAAGCAGATGGCCAGGTCTTTCTCCTACGGAGCCACTGGGTGAGTTCCAAACGCCTGCCTTTTAGTTAGCAGCCGAGCGCTTAACCATTGCACCACCAGGGCTCCTTGTTCAGTGTAAGAAAAACCAAAAAAAACAAACCCGTTGCCGTCAAGTCATTTCCGACTTATAGCGACATGCAGACCACCACAGACGGACCGCTGGTGGCACGCATGAGGTGCATTTGCCCGGAATTGAACCTGGGTCTCCAGCGTGGAAGGCAAGAATTCTACCACGGAACCTTCCTAACCCAGTTGCCGCCAAGTTGATTGTGACTCATGGTGACCCCATGTGTGTCAGAGTACAACTGTGCTCCCTAGGGATTTCAAAGGCTGTTTTTTCTGAACTAATCGCCAGGCCTTTCTTCCAGGGTGCCTGTGGGTGGACTGGAACCTCTAACTTTTGTCTTAGCAGCCGAGAGCATTAACTGTTCGTCCTACCCAGGGACTCCATGTAACTGTTGTTGTTGTTAGATGCCGCTGAGTCGGTTCCGACTCATAGCGACCCTGTGTACAACAGAAGGAAACACTGCCCTGTCCTGCGCATCCTCACGATTGTTATGCTTGAGTCCATTTTTGCAGCCACTGTGTCCATCCATCTCGTTGAGGGTCGCCCTCGTTTTCACAGACCCTCTACTTTACCAAGCATGATGTCCTTCTCCAGGGACTGATCCCTCCTGGTAAAACATGTCCAACGTATGTGAGACGTAGTCTCGCCATCCTTGCTTCTAAGGAGCATTAGATGTTAAATAATAGCTGCACTTTCCATATCTGAGCTATTTAAAAACTATGCTAGTAAGTGTTGTCTACTTCTCATGGGTACACATGTCCACTGTGGTGGGAAAAGAATACAGTTTGTCGTAAAACCTAATTCAGGTCCCTTTTTTGCTATTTAGTTGCCTTGTAACCATGAGTAACTAACTAGGTTTACCCTTTCTGAATCTCAGTTACTCATTTGTAATAAGGAGATAGTACTACTTTCCTCATAGGATTGAAGGGAAGAATAAAATAATACAACGAAAGCTTTTGTAAACTGCAAAGCATTCTAAACCTCTTTGTTAGTATTATCATTTCCCAAAGGGGGAGTTTTAAATGTAGATTTCACAAATGAGGGGAGAGGTGGTGGTGGGTTGTGAGAGGTCCAGCATTCTAACATCTGAAGGGACTTGGAAGAGACTTGGAAGATTGAGGATTCCAAGAGAAATGGGGGCTTTAAAGTTAAGGAAAAAAAAGTAAGTGCTTGTCATACAGACCAGAGTCTAGGTACTAACATGGTGTCCTCATCTGGAAACTGCTTTGCCCAGTCATGCTGCTTGTAGATTTTCCCACCATTAGAGTCAGTGATTCTCAGAAACTTCTGGAATTCTTACTATAACAAAGTCAGTTTCCAGATGACACAAGTCGTACCAATTGTAGCCAGACTTGTTTGGATTATAATAACATTTTACAGTGTCTGAAGGTAGATCCCAGTTAGGGGTTTCAAAAACTCTTTGAGCTGTAACAGTAACATTGTAATCAGTGTGTAGATTTCCAGAGCTGCTTCCTGAAGGGAAAGAAACTCCTTGAATCTGTTGTTGCAAGATCAGTAATGTTGCTTTTTTGATCATACCCAATAAAGCATATGTTGATAGAAGAGCTAGGATATTTAGAAGGGTGATTAACTTGATATAAGGAAAAGGAAAGTATTATTAGGTCGATTGAATATATTATTTATTTTAATGGCTACTTTTATGTGTAAAACCTAGAGTCAAATATACAATGGAACTTGTCTAAACTAACATTGAACACAGTCGTTTCAGACAAGACATTTCACCCGGATGCTTTCACCAGGTACTCTCTTTCTAGCCATCTGATTTCACAGGTCATATTTTTCTTTCAAACTTTCAGGCAAACTTATGAGTGATTTCAGGTAAGAACCAATAACATATTTAAAACGTTTATATACTATAGCTCATTAGGAGGAGAGGCAAAGTGTAAAGCTAGTTTGGAACATCTTCCTTTCCACAGTTAGCAAAAGTATTTTTTACTTGCTTTGTAAGAAAACTCATTTTTAATCTCATTTTTTAACAGCAGCCTACCCCAAATAATTAAATTTAGCTCCCAGTCTGGAGGTTTGAATTTGTCTCATTGCTGTCTCTCTCTCTGGTTCCTCCCTGGTTTCTAGTTTGTAAACCCCTGAGGCCAGGGATCCGGTTTCCTGCTCGTGGATAGTCACAGAACTGTGAATTCTTTATGCCTTGCGTAAACATTGATAAATAACCATCTCTCACCCTCCTCTCTCTCTGTGGTTTCTCCTTGGTTTCCAGTTTGTAAACCCCTTAGGTGGATGTTCACAAAACTGTAAACTCTTTCTGCATTGTATAAACATTGATGAATACCATATGGTCTTTATTTAAGTATTGCTAACTTTGTCATGCAATCTGAGCTGTTTTTCAGGAACTGGGAAATGTGACATGCTGTTGATTGTTGTGTGCTGTTGAGTCAATTCAAACTCACATACAAACCAAAACCAAGTCCATTGCCATCGAGTAGATTCTGCCTCATAGCAACCCTGAAGGACAGAGTAGAACTGCCCAATAGGGTTTCCAAGGAACAGCTGGTGGATTTGAATTGCTGACCTTTTGGTTAGCAGCCGAGCTCTTAACCACTGCACCACCAGGGCTCCTTGACTGCATGTAGAGATAAGCAAATTCACAAAAATGTTCACATGCTGTGTTTGTATGTGATCCATTGTGTTTGAGACGGGCAGGTGCAGTATTCTAGTATTACCGTTTTCTTCATTTAATTCTGGTTTCCTTTCTGAAATTATAACTGTGGCTGAGGGGAGAAAGTGTTACTTTAATTTGGGTGCTGGAAACATCTTCTGAGTGCTGATCTTTAAGTTTTGTATAACTTTGGTATAGTTTGGGTGAGACTTTCTGTGAACTTAGTTTAAATGTGACTTGATCCGGGTTTCATGTCCTGATAAGGAGCTAAGACTTACATAATATACTGCTTTTTCAAAGAGTATTAGGTGGACTGATTGCCACGTATAACAGAACTAGGATTTGACCTTGAAGTGTGAGTCTTTCTCTAGCTCCCTTCAGTCCACGACAGCGTTTGGCCTCTAATGCCTAACCCCCACATTAAGAAATACAGTGTTCAAGAGCATGTATGTTAATTCCCAGATTGTGGGAATTTGAGACAAGATACATAGGTAGAAATTGTATAAATTGATGATATTAAAAAATTTGGCTTGATGTTAGCAGCAAAACGTATTGCAGCAGAAGTTTTTTAGATTGGTTTACGTCATGCTGTTTATATTTAAATCTGATTAAAATGTTAATATTTATTCTAGGGTAAAATTGATTGCCTTATTCCCAGTTGGTAAAATAAATATAAGCTATATAAATGTCAAGCAACTACGTTTAGATTTTCATGCTTAAATAATCCCAATGTTTAGCTAATTTTTAAAAGAGATGCTGGTTATAGTGACGTGGACTGACTGCTTTGTTGTGTAGCAGGATGGTGGCGACTCAAGAAAACACATACTGCGCGCTAAAGTGATCGGAGAAATCATTTATTTACATCTTAGATGTTCTTTGGGATTTTTTTAAATGAATTTCTCAGGAAAGGCGACAGTTTCTCAGGTGAGTTTCTGTTCTGCCCTGTGAATGCTTCTAACACCCACTTCGGTGTGTTTTTCAGGATCGGGACGGCTGCTCTGGCAGTTCAGGTTGTGGGCAGTAACTGGCCCAAGCCCCACTACACTCTGCTGATCACCGGCCTGTGCCGTTTCCAGATCGTGCAGGTCCTGAAAGAGAAGCCCTACCCTGTTGCTGAAGTGGAACAGTTGGACCGGCTCGAGGAGTTTCCCTCCGCCAGTGACTCTAGGGAGGGACTAGGAGAACTTTCAGAGCAGTTTTACAAGTACGCAGTGCAAGTGAGTTGCCTTTATCTGCCCTTTTCTTTGGTTCCTCTGCTGCCCTAAGAAGTCATGAGTCTGTCGGGTGGTGGAGTCTGAGGGTAGGCTAAGTTGAACCGAGTTAATAGAATATTGTAACATTAATTTCAATAGGCTTGTTTCTGGGATTGTACCTAAATTGTTGCAGGACATATTAACTAATCCTTTCTAAAAAATTTTCCACAGAGTATTTCTAGAGCTTCCCCTTTTAACTTTCTCTGTCTCCAAGCCAGATAGTTTTTAAAATATGTAATGTTAAAAATTAAAATACTGGACAGAAGCTATTTGTCACTAAAATACCTGTTCTCTGAATTATACATGTTATACTCAAGGTCACATGTGCCCAGGAATAACTTTTGAAGATTAAGCACATGGAGGGCTGATTTCAAGCCTGGTTGAAACCCGGATAACTAGCATGCTGGGAGGGAAGCACGCGTTAGGCATCCTTAATTCTAGGTTACTGAGGGTTTTACTGACTTTCCCTAGGAGAAAGCTCTTCTCCAGCCCATTTTATTTTGGACCTTATTGACGTATATTATCCAATGTAGCTGTCTGCTTTTCTGTTGATGTAATCCGGTAAATGTAACTGGTGGATCTTCGAGGACCAGGTGGTGCCTGAAAGTCTCGATTATGAACATCATTGATCATTACCTGTGATGGTTGTCCTTGGTGTGTGATTTGAAGTGACACACTTCTAGTGTGGCAAACAATAGAGAAGTAGAAACATTATACCTGTAACTTTGCCAGGGGCAGCTTGAGAACTGGAATAAGTGTATCTGCTATTTAGGAAGGAAGGAGATATAGGGGAAATAGAATTTCTTTTCCTTTTCTGGGGTAGTACTCCCTGGGTGTTTGTTCTACTGGACACAGCTTCATAGCTTCTTTCACTTTGTCATTTTCCCCACGTCAAATCTACAGAAATTTGTTGAACATGTAAAGATTCTGTAATGACATTAAATTCATTTTTAGAGGGCAACAAATCATCATAAATCTTACTGTAACGCATCTAGTTTAATTTTCGCTTGTCTGCCGGTCTTGGTCTGTATTCAGTTTTATGTTCTGTTTTCATATCCATGTCTAATTTTCATATTAAATACTTTTATTTAAGTACTTGTGTAAATTTTAGTGAGTCGGAATGTCATAATTTTATCATTCCTTTTTTAGACTGTTTCCAGTTGATGCCTCTGCATCTGCACCCCCATCACCCTCACTTCTGCTTCTTTGCTCGTCTCCCAGCTGGTCGCTTTCTAGTTGCTTCTCTCTGGAAGCTATCCTGTTCAGTCTGGAGCATGCCCGTCCCTGAGTAGACAGCTTTGACGGAGTTATTCAATGGATAAAGTCCAGATACCTTAGTTTAACATGAAGTCCCTTCACAACTTGGCCTAGGCCTGTCTGTTTTACCTCAGCTCTTAATGATTCCCATGTATCCTTGTAGCTTGACCACGCTGACCCTCAGAGAGCTTTACATCTCGTTCTTTCATGTCTTTATGATTCCGCCTTCTGTTGTCTGCGGGGCGTGCCTGTCCTCTGAATCTTCACGTTCTGTTTATGTGCTTTCCCAACTCGCCTGGGCTCCTAGTGCTCCTTCCTCTGCCTTCCCAGCCCTTCATCCGTATCTCTTCATAGAATGCGGACCACCTTGTACTGACGCTTACTCCCAGGTCTGCTGCCATACCAGAGTCGAGTTCCTCCCGCCTTCAGCTGTCCAGTACTGAGCAGCGTATTGTGTCTGGCAGATAGTGTGTACTCAGTGAGCGCTTGGGGAATGAGTTTTGACTGTTTAATTTTCTTAGTATGAATTCCGAGAAGCAAGGTCTTCAGATTTTATTAAATTTTATTGATCGCTGAAGCAGGAAAAGGAAATGTGACAGATCTGTCAGTAGCATTTAATGCTTCTTCCTGGAAGGAACTGTTGCTTCCCCTCAGGTTTCATGGACCAGCACAAGATCCCTGGCCACATCTAAATGTGTGGGAGGTGAGAAAGAGCGGTCCTACCATGTGCCGAAAGAAAAGGGGAATCCTTGTCAGCAGCCCTCATGACTACCACGGTCACTAAACGCTTGCTTTATGCTTTATCTGGTTTAACTCCGGGGTATAACCTGCAAGTTATTTTTCTAACAATCATTCACAGTCAGTGCTCAGATTCTAGTTAATGAAGATGTTACAATAGAAGTCAATATTTCAGTACTGTTGGGTTATCATCATACCGTCAACTACTTAACCCTCAGGTTCCTGAGGGCAGAAACCGTATCTTTTTCATCTCCATATTCTTAGGTTAGTGACTGACACATAGAAGTACCAGGTAAATGTTCGCGTTTGCTTTTGGATTGAAACAGTCGAGGAGCCTAGCCTTTTGTCAGTGTGAACTGAAGTCTTTATTTTGTTTGCATTAAAAAAAAAATTAAGTGTTTAAGATGTATTAGCACATTTTGTATTAGGTAGATGTGCTTTCAAGTGTTTTTCAGGATCATAATAATGCTGGCACTTTAAAATAATTTAACAAATCATACGTGTAAATATTTCTCCAGTTTTTGGTACTTCTTATTAGTTGCATAGCATGAGATCAACAAAAATGATTAGTACTTTCAAAGTACGTCTGAGTGGTTACAGCTGAAACTCCCATGGTTCGCATTCCTACCCTGCTTGTTTCCTGAACCCTTAAACTGCTCTGATGAACGATGTGTGGGGTCAGGGAAGCAACGCAACAGTGATCCTCAGCAAGTTGTCCCGGTCAGCTTTACGCTCACCTCTAAGAAGATCAAATATGTCTCTAAGTTTACTAAATAAAATTGCTAGTAATGTGCTGGGAACTTGACAGAACCTTGTCACTGCCAGAGCGTGCATTTTGAGTTGTTTTTATCAAAGTGGAGTGTGTTTGTAGACAGGCCAACTTAGATTAGATCTACCATCTGTAATTATAAAACAACACAAAGCCCCTTTCTGTATTAGCTAGTAATAAAGCACAGTATTAATTAGCACAGTAATTAAATTTGTGAAATTAAAAGCATGCTACATTACACATTTTATCAAGAAGAATTTTATTTTAATTCTGACTGACTTAGTGTATCTCTACAGTAGTGTCTGCTCCTCCGCTCAAAGGCCCCTCACCAGGAACTGCATGCAGGGCAGTCACCTAAAGGTACTCTCGCAGGATTAAAATTTATGAGGAGAATGAAGAGATTCCAAGGCCTGAAATACTAAATATAATACTTTCAAATACGGCTTTGAAATATTTTGTATGATCTCTACATGGTAAGTGAAGATAGTTGAGTCTTTTAAGTACAGGCCATCCTCACTTTGTATGTCTCGGATACAATTTGCAGTTACCATAGTTTAGTTAAATCACACCAGTCCCCCAAGAACATGGCTCAACTCTTAGCTACCATGGTGTATTAACTGTGAGTAATTACGTGAAGTACAAGCTTCACTGTTAACTCTTCAGTCCCAAAATCGCTATGTATGTAACAGAAGCAAATCATCAGTGACCAGTCACATCACTTTTTCGGAGTCTGTCAGTGATGGGTCACTGTGCATCTCATTGATTTCACACATACGTGCACACACACAGCAAAGCACGTGGTTGTGTTGTCTCTCAGTCATAAACCCACGGGACATTTTCCAGAAAAGGATAATTAAAAGAGAGATTGACCAACAAAGATGAAAGTACAGCAAAAAAAAAAAAAAAAAAAAAGATAATGCTAGCAGTAAAGTGCAAGTTGGATGTGAATGCAGTTTTAGAGGAGACGGCTTACCGCAGAAATGTTGACGCGGTCGCCATCTGACAGACTGGGTCTGCCCCCGAGGAGCTCTGTGATGGCAGACGGACTGACAAAAGTGACGAAAGTGATCGTGACAGAAGGATGAAGATGTCTCAGAGGACGTGATGCCAGCAAAAAACTTCAAATCAAAACAACTCTTAGAGCTATTCCATGACATTGAAGGCACAAAGGATAAAATGTTGGAAGCTGACCCAAACTTAGAAACATAACAGTTTGCCAAGGTGTAGAGATGTTCACGCCATATCAAACTCACGTGACAAGAAGAAAACAAGCACTGTTCAGATTACCCTTGATGAGTTCTTTACAAAGAAACAAGAAACATAACACTTTGTCAGTGCTCCTGTGTTTTAAATTGCAGTGTATTAAATGAAAATGTTTTACAATTTTTTTATTTCCCTATATGTTTATAGGGAAATGGTGGCACAGTGGTTAAGAGCTACGACTGCTAACCAAAAGTTTGGCAGTTCACATCCACCGGCTGCTCCTTGGAAACCCGATGGGGCAGTTCTACTCTGCCCTGTAGGGTCTGTATGACTCGGAATCGACTCAACGGCAACGAGTACGGGTATTATGTTTATGACCAACAATAAGAGCATTTTTAGTGTTTTGACCAAAATGTTAAAAGTCACAAGAATTGTAATTTTTTCCATTGATTATTAAGATCGTTTTGCATGGTTTCAGCTTGCATGGCCTTTTTTGGGGAGGAAGTTCTTACTGCCATCCAAAGCAGATACTGCTTGTATAGTGTTTGTGACTTATCCAGGGATGTTTGGGAGCATTGCTAGTTATTAAATGAGTCATTGCTGTTACTTACCCTAGAACATGTACAGAGAGGTCTTCTGAAAAATAGCAGTAGTGCAGGCCTCTGCCCTTAGAATGATTGGCTTGGCTCATATTTGAAGCTGTTGTTTCACTGCCCTTTCCCATATCATCTTGATATGCCTGACATCCCCCTCACAAGTGGAAGTCACAGGGGCGGCTTTCTTCTGCCCCCGTTTCATCTCTAGAGCGCTGCTGCTCACACTGGTGGTGCTGGTCGTGACATCAGAAGTGCAGACCGTGAGATTAAGCCTTCAGACACTTTTATAGCCATTTGACACTGCCCTGGTGTCCGCATGTGATTCTGATTTAGCAGAGATTATTGGTCCATGAAAGATTGAAGGGGGAAACTGGTCTCTCACCCATCTGAGGAGCACTGCCCTGACTCA